TAAATCAGGGGCAGGACAATAGGCAATGCTTGTCAAGGAAACAGCTACCTATTTTCAGGTTATGTGAAAGAAATGCCCACTGGTTTAAGTTTGCTAACATTCCAAACACATTCCTCCCCTGCCCCATAGTACAGGGCAATAAAGTTCATTTTGGGGGGTGTGTGTTTCTTTTTTAATCACTCTCATAAAGTCCTAATCAGAACTCAGGAGTAACGTATATTGCTCCTATCATCTGAAGCTTCATTATACATTTGCTCTGTAAAACTTCTTAGGTTCAGCATTAAACATGGTCTTTTATCTCAGCAGATTAGAAGTGAATTAAGAACTGGTATAAAGGAAGGTCCTATTAGGAACAAAACTACTAAAGGGAGAGGACAAAGTAAAACTCAGGGATTTGTGTAATTTGTGTAATTCATTGGTAATGTGAAAAATTTTGCAGAAGAGGCAGAACTATAATTGGTACGATAGGAAAAAAGGGACTAAGAATAGTCATTATCTTCATTATTATTATCAAACGATTATATGGCATTTCATCTTCAAAACCTTTGCAAACTTTAATTAAATGTCAAAGGTAGTTAAAATCTAAATTGCATGGATAGTCTGGAAAAGTAGAGTGTTGAAGTTTGGTGAGACATGGAAGAAATATTAACACACTGGAATTCTTCTATTCTGTAACATTGCTGGAATTTGCTCTGTTCTAGAGCAACCCTCTTCCTTGTACATTAATTTTTTAAAAAGCCTTATTAATACTTCCTACTATAGCTGTTGACTCTATAGTTGTAGATGGGGAAATAGACAAAATATAAATGCTGACTTACTGGATCAACGGAAAGAAACATTTGGTGTTTTTTTGAGGTTCACCTTCAAATGCAACATTTATCTATTCATAAAAATGAATAGATCGCCAGTATAAATTACAGTGGACTCTTTTTTCCCCCCTTGAGGTTGTCATGGCTATGAAGTAAGAGCACATTTTGGCTTTTTAAAAGGTACTGTGTCAATGCAATGCTTGCAGTATTTTATTGTTTATGATGTAAATCCATGTATCAAAATTAAAATATAGGAAAGGAGCAAAAAACCAGTTGAATGCTCTACACCTAAGAATAAATTAGGCTTAAAAGTCAGAATCATTATGGGAGACATGTCTTTTCCATTTAAACATTTCTTTATTCATTCATGTATAAACAAAATAGTTACCTCCTGCCTCTTAAGGACCAAATGCTACAGTATTCTTTTAGGGCTGGGATTTTCTTTCCAGGTAGCACCTGTGTTTTCTGGAGCAGGTCAGCAATGGAAGAAATGACACTTTCATTCATGTAATGAGGCATCATTAACCAGAAGCTTTTTGTAAGGCTGTAATTTCAAACTTCATTACAGACTAAGGGAGCCACACCACCCATTATTCAGGAAAATGTGCTTCGGTTGTGACTCTCCAGTGGATCTTACATTTTTAATGAGTCTTGTTAGAATATTTATGAAACAGCATCACCAGCAGAGGGCATCTGTCTTTCGAACATGTGGGTCACAAGGATATTAGCTGATAGGGTTTCTCCGCTCTCACTTTATTTTTTAAAATTTTTTAATCTTTTTTTAAAATTTAATAATTTTTATTTCAAAATATTAAGTGGGGGTGGTGCAAGTGTTGTTGTTTTATGGATGAGTTGTATGATGCTGAAGCCTGGGCTTTTAGGACACCTGTCACCAGAGTAGTGACAGTACATTATGCCCTCATCTTTAGACCGTTCAATTGGAAAAGTTAAAGGTACATGTTATAATCTGAAACTATTTCTGATTTAGACTTTATCATTAACAAGCTGCAGGAAATATATGTGCTTACGTCTGAGGAGTCTTAATTTTTTACTATCACAGTAAAGTCTGAGTATGAAGGAACAACTAAATCCCACAGTGGACGAGAATGAACATACGGTAGTGGTGCTTCCTTTACGTGTCGCCTAAGGCAGGCCTCATCTTTGCTAGTAAATTTGACTCTCAAAAGTCGAGATCCTAACTTCCTAATAAAAATACTTCATGTCGTAAAATTAGTTCTGCCCATAAACTATTCAGTGATTTTGTTCAGAAAGGAAACTTCAGGCCAGGTGCGGTGGCTCACCCCTATAATCCTACCGTGTTTCCCTGAAAATAAGACAGGGTCTTATGTTTATTTTTCCTCCAGAAGACATCCTAGGGCTTATTTTCAGGGGATGTGTTATTTTCCCCTCAAAGCCTCAGCTTGCAGCACGCACAGGATGGCCGGGACCTGACGGGAAGGTGACCTTGTTGGTGGGGCTGCCTGCACCTTTCCAGTCACCTCTGGGATAGTAGCTGTCACGATGGGGCAGATGAGAAGGGCTGCTTGTCATCTTTACCACTCTGCGACGAAATGCATGGGTTGTGCATATATGCTGCATAGCCATGCCCAGCACTAGGTCTTATTTTTGGGGTAGAGCTTATATTGTGCAAATGCTTAGAAATCCTGCCAGGGCTTATTTTATGGGTAGGTCTTATTTTTGGGGAAACACAATAGCACTCTGGGAGGCTGAGGTGGGAGGATAGCTCAAGGTCAGGAGTTTGAGACCAGCGTAAACAAAAACAAGACCCCGTCTCTACTAAAAACAAATAGAAAGAAATTAGCTGGGCAACTAAAAATATATATATTTAAAAATATATATAGAAAAAAGTATCCAGGCATGGTGGCTCATGCCTGTAGTCCCAGCTACTTCGGAGGCTGAGGCAGGAGGATTGCTTGAGCCCGGAGTTTGAAGTTGCTGTGAACTAGGCTGACGCCACAGCACTCACTGTAGCCTTGGCAACAAAGTGAGACTCTGTGTCAATTAATCAATCACTGTAGCCTGGGCAACAGAATGAGACTCTGTCTTAATCAATCAAGAAAGAAAGAAAGGAAGGAAAGTGCAGTCTAAAAGACTCCAGGTTTAGGAGTAGGACACCTGGGTTTTGCATGTGATCCTGGGTCCAGCAATCCAGATGTGAGTTCCTGTGGTAGGGTAGATGCCACACCTCCCAGTTGGCTGTCTCATCCTAACCCTGACCTCTCAGTCCTGGGAATGTCCAGAACTTCCCAGGCCAGGGGCCTGTCCAGCAGCAGGCCAGGCGGTTTCTGACTATCACATGATACACTGAAAGGCTTCTAAGTGTAGGTTCTGGCCACAAAAATGTGTGTATGTGTACCCACACACACATGCATGCACACACGTGTATCCATATGGCATTTTCAAATGGGAGTGTTTGTTTTAAAGAATGATTAATAATTGTGATAAAAGTATATTTTCTTGAAAGGCAACACATGTAACCTAAACATTCTTGCCCCCATAATATTCTGAAACTAAAAAAAAGTATATTTTCTCATATTTTTTCAGATATTTCTAATATTAAGGTCCATAGCAGTATGTTTAATTTTAATTTACTTAGGACATGGCTATGAGAGAGGGAACTACATTCTTAAATCTGTGAAAAATACCATGACTATTTCCTGTTAATCTTCAAATAATAGTCTATTAGAAATGAAAACTTCAGTGAGGAAATATATATACTTCAAAGCCTTGGAGTATGTTACAGATAATTTTTTACTTAACACAATTTCCCTTTAGTTTCTTCCTCATGAAATACTGTTCTTTTAACCTGAATTTCCTTTACGTTATCTTTAAGTTCTATGTGAAATGAATATTTGTCACCTGTCGCTAATTTGCGCTTATAAGCCAGCTCGGATATCCACCCCACAGTCTATATACTAAGTGCTGTAACAGAGGAACCAAAAGACATCTGTTATAACAGAAAGAATGGCCCAAACATGTCTGTTCTTTTCACTTTTGTCTGCAAGTAGCTATGCTCATAGGTTGTTCAGTACTTGGGTGAGTCCTTTGCAATCCCCTGCTGCTCTCTCCGCCCTGGGAGACAAACACTCTGCAGCAGCTTCCTGAAGAGCTTACCTATATTATAAGTTAAATATTCAGATAACAGGTGTTTGGTTTTTGCAAGGAATACTCACAGCTTCGTAGCATCACTGCGATGCAATTGGAGGACGGTATTTACACATGAACTAAGTACTCGCTTCCCCTCTTCTCCCTCAACGCTGCACCTCGTTATTCAGAAGCCTTGTTACAGCGGAAGTCCAAAACTTCTGCAGGCTCAGTGTGGTCCTTGAGGGGTTTTATTAGGTCCATACAGTGCTTTTAAAATTTGGAACTATACTTGACATTTGGAAGAGTTCATTTTAAAAATCCAGATTTAGGAATTATCTTTTTTTTTTTTTTTTAAATGAAAAGATTTGGTAACACTGTCCTGTGATCTCACGGGGCAAGTGCCTATGCTTCCCAGTCCTTCCTCTGTTTCCCTTTCTTTCCTTTATAGTCAGTGCTTGCTGGCACCTGGCCACATTGTGTGTCCAGCCCCCATTCCCTCTTCAACACGGGACAGCCGTGGGCAGAATGGTGTGTGCCTACGAGGCTGCTAATGTGTTACGCCAACTTATCCAACCTCTTGTAGTTCTGGTATTCTAGCTTTAAAAATGGGAATTTTTTTTCTGGCACCTGTTGTTGATGAAAACTTTGACAATTTGAATTATTAGGAACATTTCAAAGTAAAATCGTTTGTTGCTATTTTTACTAGCACATTTTAAAAAAAAGTGATATTGTTTCATAGATTAAGATCGGCTCTATAGCAGATACCACTGTTTCTTTAGCCAAAACTGAAGTATATTTTAAATGAGTTTTTATTTGCCACATGTCTTTTTCTTAGAAAATTTTAAGTGAGAAGTCTGAAAATAACATATATGTACATATTTAATATGAATATTATAATATATACTTACATATGTCACGCCCACTTATGGATATATTAATCCAGTTATATACATTTTTAACTTTCAGCAATTTAATACATTTTTTGCTTCTTTAAATAAGTTTTACAAGCAAGCTTAGGATGAACCAAAAACAAGGCACCGTGTGTGTGGATGTTAACTTTAGATGAATGGTTTTTCTTTTCAGAATACGGCAGGAGAATGATATGGTTGATTCAGCGCCTCAGTGGGAAGCCGTGTTGAGGAGACAAAAGGAAAAAAATCAAGCAGACCCCAACAACAGGCGATCCAGACACAGATCCCGCTCGTATGTGGACTCTCCTTATATCTTGATTCAAAAACAGTGAGCTTTAAGTAGCAAGTGGCTACTCAGGTCTTCTGAGTGGGTTAGCTTAGCCATGATTATCCCCTTGTTGGTCATATTTACCTTCTACGTTTGTGACATTCATTAACTGTATTTGATGCTGTAGAAGTTGGAGCACAGCCCAAATGACATGTCATGAAAACAAGGCCACCAAAACCGTATTTTTGTTTTGTTCTGTGCTGCTTTAAACCCAAGTATACATTCAACTGAATAAATAGGAATGGTCTCCTTTGTCGTGGAGCCTGGCCGTTGCTGAAATACCTGCTGCTTCTCTCCATTTGAGTCTGCACAATTCTCTGAAGTCTTGTCCAGAGTGAACCAGATGTGAATATCTTCCCATCAAATTGCCATTTGTGAGCAGTAGTCAGCGAGCGATTCATTACGCCCCAAGGTTGGGATGTGCGTGCTCTTCCTGTTGCTAGGCAATGCCATGTGTGAGCACAATTGCCCCACAGCTGTGAGATTGCCCAGCCCCCAAATTAGTTTTCTTTGAGCCGATAAAGTTTTATAGGTGGTGTTTTTTGTTTTTTTAAATCTGTGCATCATCAAGATTTAGACCCTCCACCTCTCCATTTCCCAAAGCATACCTTTTTAAAGCGAGCCAAGACTAAGTACAGATCCTTTTGTGATTGTGGGTGGTTAGATGTCTGGGGTTGATTACTCGTGGGAGGAGGGATTAAGGCCAAGCGTCTAAGATAAGGGAACGGAAGGATGTTGGGAGTGGGTGTGGAGACAAACTAGATGGTGGGGAGGGGGGTGGCTGTGAGGGAGCCAGGGAGGAGGGCGACTGAGGACAGCTGTGAGTACCAGATAAGGTTAACTGAGGCCAGGAAAGGACTCTGCAGGGTACACCCCAGGGCCTTTGTGCTGTGTGACACTAAGTGACACTTCTCAGTCTTAGAGGTTTAACTTTTAATTAGAAGGTAACCCAGAGTGTATAGCTTTTTCTTTTTTTATCAGTAGTACATCATAATGAGTGATGACTATTTCTTTTGTGACAAAAAGCCTGCAAGTAATCACTACGCAGTATATACCCTTAGCAGATTTATTTATTATCTTATTATGTTTTTTTGGGGGAAACTAATTATATTGTTGTTCTATTTTGAGCAGAAGCTAATGGAAAAGTTTCTTTGTCTTGATAGCATCCTCCAACCCATTAAAAAAGGGTGGTTTAAATATTGAAAGCATCAAACTTCATTGAATATTATAATTTTTAACTAAAAGGCACAGAACCCAAGATCAGATCCAGCGTGGCATGGTTAAATCTTTGCAGGCCACGCTTTACTTTTCCACATGGAATTTTCTCCTTGAGAGACTTGTTATACAAAAAGTTTGGTACGTTTGATATTAAATCTTAAAACAGCACTCATTTTTCTAATCGTTTCTAAAGCATTCTAAGTTTCAGTTAAATGCCAGTTAGTGCATTCCAACTTATTTAAAAAGAAAAAGTAAAAAAATACAAAAGTCCTGTATATAAAATTTTTTTAAGGGATGAGGTCTTGCTGTGTTGCCCAGGCTGGAGTGTAGTGGCTATGCATAGGCTTAATCCTGCTAATTGATCAGCATGGAGTTTGGCCTGTCTGTTTCCACCCTGGGCTGTTCAACCCTCCTTAGGCAAAACCTGATGGTCCCCTGCTCTTGGGAGAATCCACCATTTATTGATGCCTAAAATTTAGCACAGAACACCTGGTTTGGGTATAAGCCACATGACGCCAGAACTCCTGGGCTCAAGCCAATCCTTCTGCCTCAAATGGAAACTGGGACTACATTTGCGACTAGATTTGGGGAGACAAAAAAAAAAACATTTTCCTAGAAGGCATTAGTATGGAAAACTTTCATTTTAAATAAAGTTGGACAAATTACAAATTTCAAAAGTTATGAATCGTTGCTCTACTTTCAGTATGTATTATGGGCAATTACTTGTATACGGGGCTGGGGAATTTAAATCATTTTTTCGAGTGATCTGAGGTTCGTTAATAGGCCAAAAGGAATTACATTTTGTATGGAGAAATTTGACGGGAAATGTAACACAGGAGTCAGATTTTATCATCTTATTTGTGTAACAGTTCCATTCAGTTTTGGGACAAAGACTAATACATATGTGTCATTTCCAATTGAGATGCTAGAGCTATTTCCTCATCCAGAAAAGTCCCTTCCATGTTCGCTTTTCTAGTCAGTGTCCACCCCATAGGGCAACCACTGTTCTGATTTCTATCATCATAAATTAGTTTTGCTCTCTATTGAACTTTATATAAAGTTTGCTCCCATTACCATAATATTGGCTCTTCTTAAAATCTGGTCTTTCATGAGGAACAGTATCTTTGAAGATCCATTCGACCATGGTATCAGTGGCTATTTTAAATTTTTTTGTTCAAATATGCCACCAATTGTTTATCCATTCTCCTCTGGATGGGACGTTTGTGATTGTTTCCAGTTTTTGATTGTTAAAAGCTGGCCATTAAGACATTCTGTGCGCAGGTGCGTCTCTGGAAATAGTCTGTTTTCTTTGTTCTTGCGGGTTAGATACCTATTGGGGGTGGGAATTCAGAGTTAGACGTATTTTGCAGTTTAATTTTTATTAAAAGAGTACCAAAAATGATTTCCAAAGAGCTTTCATTTTCATTTTTTACACGCCATATAGCCATGTATGAGAAATTTTCATTCTGCCCATTTGCCTTATATTGTGTTTGTTTGTTCCTTGTTAATTTAAGCTATCTCTTAGTTAGGTTTGAAGTCGTATGTCCCGTTGTGGTTTATATTATTAATTAGCTTCCCATGATTACTAATAATATCATCCACCATTTTTGTGTGCTTATTTTGTTATTCATATATCTTTCATTTTTAAAAAGTGTCCAAATTTTGTCCGTCTTGATTTGGTTTTTTTTATTATTTCTTTTGTAATTACTTTATGTATTCGTAATAAAAGTTCTTTTCAGATAGTGTATTGTTGGAATAACTTGCTCCCAGGGTTTGTGGTTGCTTTTCTTGTTTTATCTTAATTGTTTTTATGATGGGAGAAGAACATTTTAATTATGATTGAGCAGATTTTTTAAATTTTGGATGAGACCATCTATAATTTATTTCAGTTGTATAGTTAAGAATTTTTTTTCATATAAGGCGAATATTTGCCTTAACCATTTGGTCACAAGTAGTTCTTTTTTTGTTTTTTTTTTTTTAATTACCTTTTTCTAGCAAGTTTTTAGACTTTCTGCTCGGTATATTTAGGTCTATGATTCTATTCTGGAGTTTTAATTGGGGTTGTGGTTTGTTCTTTGAGGGGGCTAGAGAGAGAGTTTTTCCCACATGTTCTAACCTATTACTCCACTTACTGTTTTTTGAAAAGGATTGCGTCTCAATGAGATGTCGTGCTGGCCCTTATGAAATCAGTTGAACTGCTTATATGTGGGCCATATTGGTTTTCATTGATCTATGTGTCTATCACACTGTTGTCTTACTTACTATAGTTTTATATGGAGATTGAATGGGCAGTGTAATTCTCCAAAACTTTGCTTTCTCTTTTTTCCCCCAAAGATTGCTTTAGCTATTTTTAGTCCTTTGCATTTCTGTGTAAATTTTGGGATCAGTTTGTTCAGTTTTAGACCCTCCTACCAGAAAAAAAAAAGCTTTAGATTAGGAGTATATTTTGAAGGCTGTGATCAGTTTTTGAGGAAATAAAGTATCTAACCCAAATCCCAGTTAAATCTTTAGTCTCTTTCAGCAAATGTGTATTAGTTTTCAGTAACATTTTACATTTATTAAATTGCATCCTAATATTTTAATATGTTTAAGTTGTATTGAGCTTGTACATTGTAAGAGAGTTTATTCCCAATTGTTTGCAGTTTATATAAGAAAAATAAAATGATTTTTTTAAAATAAACTGATCTGCTATATCTTACCTTACCCTGCAACCTTGTTGAATTCACTTACTAGCTTCTGAAAAAGCTTTGCCCATTTTTGTGTTTCTTAAGGATTTTCTACATTTGATTTCATATTGTTTGTGGCTAGAGGACAGTTTCTTTGATGTTAATCTTTTTGCCTTTTTATTTGTGTTGCTTTCCCTTATTTCATAACTGGCTAGATCTTCTAGTACAGTGTTGAATTTAGGAAGCTTGGGAAAAAAAGCAGATGCCTTAAGGCTTGCTTGCCTTGTTTTCGGCGGGGGAAAGCATTCAGTATGTCTCATTAAGTATGATTGCTAAGTGTGAATTAAGGGAAGTCCCTTTTAGTCCTGTTTGGTGAGTTAGTGAAGAGTTTATCGTTGAATGAGCTTTGAGTTTTTTTATTAACCACCTTTTCTGCAATCTACTGAGATTAATTGTAATGGATGTATTGGTTTATTTTGTTAGTGGAGGTTATTACATTCTTTATGTTTAATTCATTTTGAATGATGCATTTTCTTGCGGTTCCTGATTAAGCCTCTTGTGGTCATGATGTGGTTATATTTTTGTATATTGCGGATTCTGTATGCCAGGCGTCCAAAACTACGGCCTGCCAGGCCATGATTTGCGGGTGGTTTTTGGCCCGTTTGTTTTTTTACTTCAAAATAAGATATGTGCAGTGTGCATAGGAATTTGTTCATAGTTTTTTTAAACTACAGTTCAGCTCTCCAACAGGTCTGAGGGACAGTGAACTCGCCCCCTGTTTAAAAAGTTTGAGGACCCCTGCTGAATGACATTATTTTAAGATTTTTTTTTCCTATGTTCATGAGAAAAAAACGTCCAATAATTTTCTTGTAGATCAGGTGTTTTTGGTAATGAGTATAATACTGCTCATTTAAAATAAAACTTGGGAAGTTTTCTTTCTCCTCTCTATTTTTCTGAATAAGTTAATGTAAAATTAGCATTTTTTTCTTATATATTTGATATAATTCACCAGTGAAACCATCTCTGGAATTTTCCTTATGGAAAGTTTTAAATTACAAAATCAATTTCTTTAGCAGATAT